CAGGAGGGGCGGGGGAGCAGCGGAGTACCGGAGGTGCCGTTCCACGCCAGTGGCAGCAGTGGATGGAGGCTTGGGCACAAGAGGGGAGCGGTGGCGTGTTTAAGAAGAACATGGCGGGGGAGCAACGGAGGTTGCACTGACACAGCGACTTCGTCGGAAAACGCGGCAGCGGCGACCGTACGGAGGAAATTTGGGCAGCATAGCATCGGACGGAGGGAAGCACGAGCGGCGTGGAGAGTCTTGCAACTGGCCCTGCGTGTGGACGGCGGCGCTGTGTCTCCACGGAATAGAAAGAAGGCAAGTCTTGGGCTGAACGGGAGTCCGAACAGAATTAGGCCCAACACAAGTCCGAGCAAATTTAGGCCCATAATTAGGTTGGACGAAAATATAAAGTTGCAAAAAAATTTGCCTCTTTTTATTTAATCAGAAACTTCATTACTCATTAAACTCAGCCAAATCGCTGGTCACCAAATTCTCGACAAAACGAGGTACCCCACACACACCCAAGTGATTTGATCATCACTGGGACAATTACACCCAAATGCCGCTAAAGCATCTGCAACTTTATTACATAATCTAGGACACACTTGTACTCTAGCCTCCACAAACTCCGACATCAGCAGTAGCCGAAGCCCAGTAATAGCCCCGCCCAAAGCCGAAAGTCTATACTCATACTCTCTACTGCAGACTTGACTAAAGAAGCGTTAATTTCTAGCACAATCTTACTAATCCTCAATTGCACAGCTGCTTTAACTCCGGCGAGACATGCCAACAATTAGGTATAGATGGGTTTTTAACTTTACAAAGAAACCACCAGTGTGTAGAGGAGGAAAATAAGAAAACGGAAGTGCACGGACAGAAAGAAAGGAAAAAAGAAGAACATAAGTGGACGGACAGAACGAAAAAACAAAGAAGAAAAAATGGAAAGCAGAAACTCACGCCACGGGAAAAAGGGAGAAAAATAGAAACTAGAATTCCATAAGGGAAAGAGAGAAAAATAGAAGCTGGTATTCCATGCAAGAATACGGGAGGTGACAAAAAAAAGGAATTAGAGAAACGGAAACAAAACGACCGAAGCCAAGTAGGAATGGATGATTTTTTTCTTTTTCTCTTTTCTTAATTCTTTTTTTCTTCATTTTCCCCTCTCCTTTTTCTTCTCACGTGTCTCTCTTTTCCCTTATCCGCCGATGGAGAAGGGATATTTGTCTCATAGATACGGAGCCGACGACGGCCAACCGAAAAACAAAACGGTACATGACACAAACACGGCACACGGAGCCGGAAAAAGTTTGATAACCAAAGAAAATTTAGGTAGGAATTTTACCTTTTTAGTATTATATTATATATATATATATATATATATATATATATAGGTATATAGAAGATGTGTCCGTGTCTTACAACAAAACCCAATAATAATCTTAGAATCGGACTCCATATCGTTTTAGACGCGAGCTATTTTGTATGAGCACGGGTTATATATTAGTTCGGACAGAAGAAACTCTCAATTATCCAATATTTAGAGGGGGACGGACCCAAAAAATAGATGGATGAAAAAATAAGCTAAAATTTTGTCTCTTTATTATTAAGGTATAGATAGATATGTCTTGTTTCGAAATTCGAAGAGAGGAAATAGATTACGATAATAACTTGTAGAGTTTTTTTTGAGCACTGGTAGAGGTAGAATAGACTTTTTCCTACTTGAGGCTCATCCTCGGAGGCCCATCTCGTCCAGCAGCCCACTACCCGCGTTCAAAAGCACGGCCCACCCGTTGACTCTGGATGTGATCATGTGAATGATGCTGCGGGTGTAGGCGAAGGAACGATTAACCGGATGGTAATGCTAATATGCTGTGCATCTTACCCCCGACACGAGCAAATCGTCGGACGTTCCTGCAGATCTACCACCTCGTTGCTTGCGTTTTTACCCCACCGCTTGCTCTGTCCATGAGTTTATTAAAAAAGAAAATTACCCATCCTTATTCCCTCCGCTTCCTTCTCCCCTGTCAAAGCGCCTTGCGGCTGCCCGTCTTGGACGCGGATGCACACTCCCCTCGCTGCTGCCGCGCGCCCCATTTGCCGCCGCTCGCTCTCGCCCCGTCGCGCGCGCCGCCCGCTCCCTCCCGTCACGCGCGTTGGTTCTGGTGGTGCTCGCTTTGCCCGTTGCACGTGCTGCCCCCAGCCGAACTAAGCCCGGTGCTAGTGGCGGTGGTGCTCGCGCGCGTCGTTGGCGCTGGATGCTTGTGGTGCTCGCGCACGACGGGAGGGAGCTCCCCCTATGTGTCGATCAATTCTGGATGTTGATCAACATAGGCGCTCCCCCTCCCTTATGTCGCAAATGTATGTTTCAAGTGTTTCAGACATTTCAGATGTATGTTGCAGTTATTTTATACAGATGATGCAAAAGTAGACCGGGGATGTTGTATATGTTGCATATATTGCAAGTGTTTCAGAGATATGTTGCAAGAGTTTAGTCAAAATATTTCATCTGTTCTAGACGTATATTACAAGCGTTTTAATCTGTATGTTACATATGTTTCACAAGCTGTAATTTACAAGGGTTATAGATTGAATACCGCACTTCCAAACATACTCTAACAATTTACTGAGGTAGAATGAACTTTTCCCAACTCGAACCTCATCCTCGGAGGCCCATCTCGTCCAGCGGCCCACCACCCGCGTCCAAAAGCACGGCCCACCTGTTGACTCTGGATGTGAACGATGCTGCGGCTATAGGCGAAGGAATGATTAACCCACTTCCTAGGCCACAGGTAACAAGTCGCGTGTCTTCTCAAAACATTGCTATTGTTCTTCTTTGTATTGTATATATATTAGAGTGTGGTGGTTGTAACGGACCTAACTGGACTTTGATGTACTATGTTGTTAGCATTTGATTAATTTTTAGTAGTAATTGTTGTATAACCGTTTGTTTCTTTGTCTAAACACTAGTACCTTAGGAATTTTTTAGGAGTAATTGTTGTATAACCGTTTGTTTCTCCGTCTAAACACTAGTACCTTAGGTCCCGTTTGCATGTGAGGATGAGGAGGAACAGGATGGGATGGCCCCGAGACGACCGTCGTTTGGTTCGGAGGCAACCGGGGGCGAGGATGTCCCACAAGTGAATATTCGCACAAGACTGGGCTCGCCTGCCCCCCCCCCCCCAAAAACAACGGATGGGGCCGTCCTCGTGGGACGAGACGCACGTGCGCGTGAGAAGAACGAGGAGAGGAGCGGGAGCTTGCCGCAGTTGAGGGAGAAGGAAGAAGCAGGGACTCACCGAAGTTGCTGGAGTCGAGGAAGAAGCGGTGCGCGGCCATAGGAGCACGGGCTTTGCCCCTGGCGCCGTTGTGCCCAGCCCGACGACATCCGCCCCTGGCGTCGTCGTGCCTGGTCCCGGCGACCTCCGCCCTCGTTGAGCCACGAGGAGATCCTTGGCGCAAGCTCTGGGATTGGCCCTGCCACCGCAACGGAGGAGACACCGGGTGGCGCATGGCCAGGCTCACTGGCGAGGTGGACGACCAAGCTCGCTTCCTTTAGGAAGCACGCGGCGGAGGCGGGGTGCGGCCGTGCTCGCCAACGGAGTCGTCGCGGTACACGCCTAGTTTGGGCAGCTGTTCGGGATGAGAGAGATAAGGTGAGGACGGAGAAAAAAGGAAAAAAACTAACAAATAGGTCCCACTTGTCAGTAGCTGATTCCACTTTTGTTGTCTCTTACCAAATAGAAAATAGATTGGTCCCATCCATCTTCAATCAAATAGAAAATAGAGTCGTCTCGTCCCACGAAACAGAGTCAGAACTGTCCCATTCCACTTTAACTTTCAACCAAACGCTACCTTAGATCCACACCTCGTTCATGGAGCCAAATAAAATAAAAAGGATCTTGAGTCTCTACAAGAACACGACGACCAAACTCACAATTTAGCCTACCTAATATTAGCATGACCCGGTCTTTCAGTATTAAGGATGGCAACGGGTCGGGTTCGGATCGGGTGGAGTCTCCGTGCACCCAAAACCGAAACCCGAAATCAAAACCCGAATCCGCCCCGAAAACCGATTCGGGTGGAAATCCATCACCAAAACCAAACCCGCGGATACCCGAAACCCGAACGGATACCCGAAACCCGAATGGATACCCGAAACCCGCGGATATATATACACATATTCACATGTATAAATAAGAGGCAACAAATAATAAATATTTTCATGAGTCAACTTTAAATAAATTTAATAATCTAAGTAAACAAATTATTATTAGTATATTATAAAACATGAGTTTTAATTCCAAATGATTTATTTCGGATATCCATTGGATATCCACGGTGGCAAACCAAACCCGAAACCGAACCCGATTGGTTTCGGGGCCTCGAACCCGAAAACCGTGGGTGAAAAACCATCCCCAAACCCGAACCCGCAGAACCCGAAACCCGCGGATATCCGCCTAAACCCGATCCGCTGCCATCCTTAATCAGTATGGGCTATCTTTATGTAGACAAATAAACACATGTGTTTGGATCCATTAATTAAAATCAATATCTAAAAAGTATTTCTTAGATTACTTTCCAATCGCTGATATTTAAAAAATGCGTCTCAGATTATTTTCCAATTCCTCTCGATTCTTGCATTTTCGATATTTTGTTTACAGTTTTTGGTTTTAGCAAAATGTAAAGTTTTTTTTATTTGAGCATAATCTTCTCACAGTTTCTTTTTAGTTGGGGAAATCTCGTACTACGGCTAATCGGTTTTCGTTTTCCGTATTACCTTTTCGGATCACTTTCAGGATCAGTCTGACTGATGAGTTGCGCGGGAACAGAGAGAGATGACACGCAACCGATTCCCATCCCATCACGGCGGCAAAGGAGCGTGGGCGCGTCGACTCCCATCTCTCCCTCCCAAACACGAGCGAGAGCTGCCTACCCAGATCCGTCCACGCTCTCGTCTCCCTCGGTATCGCCGTCTCCTCCTCGGTTCCTCAACCGGCCCGCTGCTGCTGCCGACTAGGATGGCGAAGCTGACATCGGAGCTGCTGCGGCCGGTCGACCCGGCGGCAGCGCCGGACGAGGCGGCGCTGCTGCGCTACCTGGCCGCCAACGCCCCGGGCTTCCCGGGCCCCGCGCCGGCGCTGTCGCTGACCCAGTTCGGGCATGGCCAGTCCAACCCCACCTACTGCATCCACGCATCCGCCTCCGCCCCCGGCGGGGGCCCGGCTAGGCGCTACGTGCTCAGGAAGAAGCCGCCCGGGGCCATCCTCCAGTCCGCGCACGCCGTCGAGCGCGAGTACCAGGTCCGGTCTGGTTTCATCTCCATCTCCCCCGCCCCGCTCTTCTTCTGCGGCTTGGTCTCGGTTCCGTACGCCGTGCGCATCAAAAACGACGCGAATCCGATGTGCTAGTGGATGCGATTCACCCATCGGTTTGTCGTACTGATGTCGAAAGCTCAGATTGGAACAGTGAAAGGGCAGATAACAGTATATATAAGAAAAGAAAGGGCAGAATCAGTACTGATTCGACTTTTTGTTTTGTCATCTTTTCTTCCATGTCCTTCCATCGCATTTCATTGTTTAACAATGCAACGGCATTTCATATTTCACTGCTCTAGATATTGTACTCTTTTGGGCTTACTAGACTGTTGAAAATTTACTTCAGTATATTGTTGAAAATTTACTCTGGGAACGTTTGATTTCTGTTTACTAGATAGTTTATTGTTTTGCGCTTATCCAAAATCACTTGAGTTATCTAACTGCGGTGAGATTTGGCCTTATGAAGTATTGCCTTCCTTCTGATTAAGGATATGAGCTTACTCAGTGATTCATTTCCTATCGGGAAGCAGGTTCTCAAAGCTCTGGGTGATCACACAGATGTTCCTGTCCCGAAGGTTTATTGTCTATGCACAGATGCAAGTGTAATTGGAACTCCTTTCTATATAATGGATTATCTGGAAGGAATAATATATCCTGATAGCGCGTTGCCGGTATGCTGCTTGTTTTGTGTTCCCAGTCTTGTTCGTTTATCACATTTAGCCATGTACTTGTTTACTGACTAGAACTTCAAACTGTCTCGAGAATTTTTCGTCGGTAATGTTTAGTATATATCTAACACAATTTAAACTATCAAAACATCAAGTTCTTATTTGTGCTAACTTCGATTTTGTTATTTTTGTTCCTTTTTTACAGGGGGTGACTCCATCTAAAAGGCGAGCTATATATTTTTCTACTGCCAAAACTTTGGCTACTATACACAAAGTTGATGTTGATGCCATTGGATTGCAGAAGTATGGGAGAAGAGACAATTATTGCAAAAGACAAGTAGGTTCTAATTACTCATTTCATGCATGTTGATTCACTCTTCTGATTCCTCCTTCCGTTTCTCTCTCCCTCAGTTTAGTAACCTTTACTGAATAACAAGTTTATAAACAAATATCCCTCTCTTCATTCGTGTCTAAATGAACGTACTCTTAAGCTGCAATCATTTATTTGTTCTTAACTTGTTAGTCTACAAGCGATACAAGCATCGATTCCAGTTATTCTTTTCTGCATGAATGGATATTGCCTGACAACTGTAGCTTGATCACTCAGGTTAAGGAAGAGATTCCTAGTTGTATTGATTTGTGTGATGTTTTTCTGTGATACTCCATTGCATTTGAAGATAGTTTCTGTTTCTGTTTACATAGTTTCTGTTTCGTGTTTCAGGTACAAAGATGGGAGAGGCAATATCTTGCATCCACTGGTGAAGGGAAGCCTGCACGTTATCAGAGGATGCTTGATCTAGCTCGTTGGTTGAAAGAACATGTACCAAAAGAAGATTCCTCAGCAGCATCAGGAACAGGTCTTGTCCATGGTGATTACCGCCCTGATAATCTAGTTTTTCATCCAACAGAGGTCTGGATTTCTGTCATTGCAAGTGTTCGTGCATTCGTCTGTGTTGGGCATATAATTTTACATGTTTTGTAAGACAATTATATCTGCTTGTATACAGGATCGAGTAATTGGCGTTATTGATTGGGAACTATCTACTTTGGGGAATCAGATGTGTGATGTTGCTTATAGCTGCTTGGTATGAAGTACTTTCTTATTTTAACATTGTTAGGCATCAATCGCCTATATTTAGTGTAATGCATTCCTTTTGCATCATATCTCTTCGTGCTATATTCTGACAATGGTAGTTCTTTGAAATTTGAATGTGATACTGTTTGGTGTACTCATTTAAATACACATTTTACTTACTTTCACTTCTCTCAAGGCTCGAGCTAGTTTCAAAGAAGAGCGCATATTTGATTTTTGTACCATATTTTTCTTTTTACTGCATAGCAGCGCCATCAATAGAAACTGTTGCTAGAGATAAGAGTTGTGTAAGATGTTTTGTGTAACCCTTTAAAGCCTGGCCAAATGGAGTGGATCTGATCTCTCTTCTATTGCAGTGCCCCTCTAATGCAGTAAACAGTGCTGCTTAATCTTACTGGTCTCATTTTATATTTGGGGGCTTATTATCACTGCCTCTGAAGTTGTACCATACCCCATGCCCAATAACAATATATAGATATCCATTTTTGTCGCATTTTTCTTGCTTTTTGTTTCACTACAATGGTAGGTTACTTGTTTTGGTTGACTCTTATGACTTCCCCTTTCAGCCATATATTATTGATGCAACACCCACTGAAAGGACTTTTTATGGAGGATTTCAACATACTGGCATTCCAGATGGGATTCCTCAACTGGAAGAGTACCTTTCTGTATACTGCTCTTACTCTGTAAGCATCAAATTCACATATTCTAGGTTGGCAAAAGCCGCATTCTATTAGCTGTTTTCCCTCACTCGTTCTAAATATTTCTCAGGCAAGACCCTGGCCTGCTGCAAATTGGAAATTCTACATTGCTTTTTCTTTGTTTCGTGGGGCATCAATCTATGCAGGAGTATATCACAGATGGACTATGGTACATGTCTTAAACTCCTGAAATCTGGAAGCCAAGACTTCTTATTTATTCTCATTTACTTGAGCTGGCACACAGGGTAATGCTTCAGGTGGTGAGCGCGCTAAATTTGCTGGCAGGGTTGGTAACGTTATGGTTGACTGCGCCTGGGACTTCATAAATAGAGTAAATGTCCTGCAAGAACCGCCTTCTAAGGGTAATTGTGTTCAGTAATTTCATATCTACAACCTCCTGTCATGCAGCGGAGTCTTGTTTGTGGATACTGTGTAGGCTATTTGTGTTTTGACCATCATTTGCATTCAACTTAGGTTTTCAAGTCTCAGGAGCACCGTGGCAAGAATTTCAGAGAGGAAGAAAGTTTAACTTCCGAAAAGAATCAAGGCAAATTTGTTCCTAGTGAAAAGGTTATGCAGCTTCAAAAGAAACTAATAAAGTTTATTGAAGATCACATATACCCAATGGAGGGTGAGTTCTACAAACATGCACAATCAACCTCAAGATGGACAATTCATCCAGAAGAAGAAAATCTTAAAGCATTGGCAAAGGAGGGCCTATGGAACTTGTTTATTCCGGTATGTTTTTCCCTCCTTTGAAACCCTTTGTGCTTACATTATTCAAAAAATTTGCCACATTATGTTTCTTCTGTTAATGGAGGGTTCATCTGTTTTGTAGTTGCTTCATCTGTGCTAACTAAAATCGTTGATCTGCAGCTAGACTCCTTTAAGGCCATGCGATACCCCGCGCGATAGAAAAAGAAGCTGCCATCCCTGCGATCCCCGTCTGCTTTGAAGGAAACAAATCGATAACCTAAGGCCACGTGCATGGAAGGAAACAATAATCATGCATGGAAGGAAACAATTGGCAAAGATCAAGCAAGACTCCTCCCTTCCGGCCATGCGATACCTCACGCGTTAGAAAAAGAAACTGTCATCCCTGCGATCCCCGCCTGCTTTGAAGGAAACAAATCGATCACCAGATGCCACATGCATGGAAGAAAACAATAATCATGCATGAAAGAAAACAATTGGCAAAGATCAATCAAGACGACTCAATGAGGTTGGCCTTTAAATTTAGTGTTTTCAGCATGCAGACCTGAAATTAAAAAGTGGCTGCTCCTTGAGAACATTAGTGGTGTCAAATAAAAGATGTGCCGGTTATACATGGTGAGACTGGTGAACCTTCTGCAATTTTCTAAACGAATATTCCCACCATTCGTATATAGGTCTATTCCCCTGCGTTTCTTCGTGCTCCAATTAGCATATAATATGGAAGTATTGTTTTGTTCATCACGACTTTCAGTTGACTACTCCTATTAGCATATACTTCATCTGTCACAAAATATAAGTCGTTATGGGATGTGTGCAGGTCAAACTTTCTTAACTTTGACTAGATTTGTAAAAAATACGTGCAAAATTTATATCTTCAAATAAGTTTATTATGAAAATATATTCAATGGTCTATGTAATGATACTAATTATGTATTATAAATATTAATATTCTTTTATATATAATTGATCGAAGTTAAAAAAAAAGTTGACTTCTCGGAAAGCAAGCGAAAATAAATTCTATTTTGGGACAAAGGAAGTATATGAAAGTAATGTTGAAAATATTTTAACGATCAAGTTCGTCTCTGTCTGATTGGTAAGCTTAGACATCATAATGGCATCAAAAATTTCGACTCTCATGGACACCCTCATGGATCAGTGCAAAACATCCTAATCCTACAGTATACACAAATGGCAACTTTAAAGTTATGATATTTTCAAAGGGTGGACAATAAAGATCATTTTAGACGTTTTGGCATTAGAGTATATACGTGCAGACACATAGGCATGGTGGTGCAAGTGAGCATCGAGAGTTAGGGGTGTTTGGATCCTAGGACTAAACTTTAGTCCATGTCACATTGAATTTTTAGATATCAATTAGGAGGACTAAACATGAGCTAATTATAAAACTAATTACATAAGTTGTGGCTAATTTGCTTGCCAGCGCCGTGTATAGGATGGTATGGAGATGTGGTGGAACTTATTCGTGGATTTATTGGCGCACGAAAAAAATGGATATCGGAAATCTCTTCCTGTCGGTATAAAAAATGATCTTAGCCGCATCACGGAAAGATCTACACAGTAGAGTTTGTGAGCCTACGACGCCATGCTTTCTGTGACTGTGTAAATTTCACGAACTTAGCTTTTTAGATTAAATGTCACTTTAACGTCGGTCATATACTTTTACAGTATTGTTATCTTATCGTGCGATCCGTATGTTTTTAGTACAAAAGTTTAGCTGTCCCGTAGCAACGTACAGGCACGAACCTATTTACATATATACTCGAACCTGTGTGTACATGATTATATGGTGATGCAGTGGAACTTATTCATAGATTTATTAGCGCATGAAAGAAATGGATATCGTAGAATTCTTTCCGCCGATATAAAATATTATCTTAGCTGTATCACGAAAAAGTCTATACAGTAGAGTTTGTGAGCCTGCCACGTCGCGCTCTCCGTGACTGTGTTAATTTCAGGAACTTTGCTTTTTGAATTAAATGTCACTTTGACGTCGGTATTTAATTTAACAGTATTGTTATCTTATCGTGCGATCCGCGTGTTTTTAGTATAAAAGATTTAGTTGTCCCGTAGCAACGTACGGGCACGCTACCTATATATCTCCTATAACTAAAAAGAACAAAAGTAAGACTATTTTTTCGTGCGACTTTTTTTTGGGTCGCTCCTCCTTTCCGTCCGTGCGATACCCTCCCGCGACTCCGATGAAAGGCGCCGGCATGTGGGGCCGACTGCACGCGAGCCCGCCTCGTCGCTCTACTTCCTCCGCTTTGCACGCCCGCTCGCGAGATCCCGCTCGCTCCCCGCGCGTGTGCTCCCCTTCGCGAGATCCCGCTCGCTCCCGTGATTCTGGCCGCGCCGCCGCCGCGCCCCCATCGCGCCCACCCTGCCCCCGTGCCCGCCCGCAGCAGGCCGTGCCGTCGCCGCCCGCAGTAGGCTGTGCCGCTGCCGCACGCCCACCATCGTCGCCCACATCTAGGCGCGCCACCGGCGGCCGCGTAGAGCTGGGGAACCCCCGTCTAGCCTTCTCGGTGGCTCCGTGCGTCGCTCCTCGACGTCCTCGCTCTCCATCTCTCTCGCGCACGCGACTGCAACGGGGAGCGACGCGACCGCGAAGGCGGCCTCGATGCGGGCGGCTGCTCCTCCGCTCCTCTTAGAGACCAGGCAGCTGCTCCTCCGCTCGGTGGCAGTGGCAGCAAGGGGAGCCATCGATTGCCGACCGGCTTCTGCCACCGTCTCGCCTGCATCTCCAAAATCTAAATCTCCACCAATGATTGGCGAGATGTGCGGTTTACTCTTCTGGATTGTATTCCTGCCTTCTAGATGTCTGACGGCCTATTCCTGTGTTTTCCTGGAGATTGCCAGTCCTATGTTGACTCAACGATCGGATCCGTGTTCTTGAGTTTGTATTTGCCAGTCCAATCACCTGTGGTATTTGTCTTGAGAAAATGTAGCACGCATCAGAAGCAGCGTGTTTCATGTTTCAGTCTTCGTTCGTGGTGGTGCAGATATATTTTCAGATGTGATTTATTCGATGCCCATTTCAGTTCTCTGGTTTTGGGACGGATGGAAATCACATCAGGTGTCTTGCTAATGTTTACTGCAAATTGAGTTGGTACTAGGTTATGCATTTGCAGGGCACAAAAATCATAGGCGCATCAAAGCCAAGCCTGACGCCCAGACGTTGCACAGCTCCAGCACAACAAGCAAGGTCAACGTGTCCTGAGGTCAAACTCCAGTGCACACACATCAGACCTTCTACTAGGTGCTGGATGCATTCTTGCCATTATGCTACTGAATGGGCGAGACTACCTAATATCCAAGGTCTACAACAAATCAAGGTGAGGGCACTCGACATAATACGCTAAATGCAATGATAACCACGCATAGGACCTGCTTGACTAAATGTCTCAGTGGTCTAAGGCTTATCTCAACTAAGGATTTAGTATTTGCCTGACATCTCAATTATTTTTTTGTTTGAATTTAAATAGCAATATATTTGACACCTAAACTGGTATATCATATATTTAATGAAGAGCTTGACTGCACTTCTCAAGGCAATACTCTTGGTTTCTTTCTTCCAAGAGTCATTGCTATACTATTTATGCATTGCTTGATTATGCCTTTTCTCCTATTTATTTCCCAATATCGTCATTCCATATATTCTTACATTGGTCTCTGACTCTGAGTCACATCATTTCTTAATATTTTTCACTACTAAGAAATGCTGTTAGTGTTGCTATCACACTACTGGAGCTAGGTAACTGCAAGAACTATTAACTTCCATTTGATATTTTTCACTACGCAGGAGGAATGGATTTTTCATTGAAAATTTGTATTGTTCAATTGCTCAAGATCTCTACTTGATGTTCAATCTTGGCATGACCATTCAAGTGTGTCACATACATGAAAAAATTTATGAGTTTTGGAAGGATGGGAATGGGATATCGCACCAGCCACAAACAAGTACTCTAACTTCCATTTGAGGTTTTAGATTCATGATATATTTGCTTGACACGTTGGTCCATATTTGAGATTTGGCTTTCTCAAGAATTTTCTCCCACATCTCATAACGATAAATTTTTTTCTTAATTTTATTTCCTGGTGAAAGTAGATAGCACACTGTGTTCCTTTGTTACATATATACTCAGCTATGAGGCCATAGAGAGTGTAGGACATTTTTAGAAATATGCCTTTGAAAGAGATGAGGGAGAGTTAGGGTTTTAGTTTTATTATCTGAATGTTAGTTGAGGCATGAGCTCTATGTGCATTCAGTTCAAAAAATATTTCTTGCTCATTTGACCTCAATCATTTTGGTAGCAAGGACATAAGGAGCTTGATGTAGCTAGCTTGCGGGAACATGAAGATTTCACAAAGGTGAAAAATATCGCGAAGATCGAACTGGGGAGATATGTGAGATGGATACATGGTATTTCTCTCCTTTTCTACCAGACTACAATGACTGCCCGAAGCTGTTTTTTCTGTGAAATTGCATCAACTGCATTTGTCCATGTTTCTGCTTAGTCGTTTTGGTATTCACTCAGACACCATTAAGAAAAAATAATGCCGTGATCCACCATTAGTTGTTCCTGGCTCAATTTGCGGCGCAGAGATACATGGTCGTTGCGACCCTGCGCCTCCACTCCGCTGCCTCGACGCCGCAAGGGCCGTGCGCTCCACTCCGGCACTGGCTCGATCTACAGCTGCTCATCAGTCCTGGTGTGTATGTAGATGTATAGTCTGTGAGTTAAATTTTTTTATCCAATTTCCATTTTGCTGTGCTGTAATCAGAAGAGGTTTTGGTTACTATATTTTGTATGTCACAATTGTGATAGTTTACTATATTCTTATATGATAATTCAGGATGCGGGCCATTAGAATTGCAGTAGAAAATAGTTGATTGGGGAAAACTATATATTTTTATTGATAGAGTGATTTTCATGACTTATCACTGTAATCCGAAAAATAAAAGTGGTGTGGTCAACTTAGCAACAGATTATTTATTTCTAATTAGGTTTCTTCTATAAAGGTGTCAATGCTCTGTCCTTACCTGTAGGCAAGTGACCTGTTTCTTTGTTGGGATTAGCCATGAATTCAGTTCCTGCCATTTGATTGACCCATGATACTGATTTTTGGCATATGTCCATTGTTCCTAAATATATTGTGTTATGCACATTGTTTGGAGTCCGACCACATATATGCCAAATAGCATGTTTATCACCTAAATGTAGGTTCATGTGATGTCATTATATAGCATCGATTTAGTCACTTTAGCCATCTCCCTTGAATATTTTTTTGCCTCCAAATGGGGAGACTCAACTTGGTGGTGATTATAATGTTTTGGTGGTTTAAATATCGCTGTGGCGTTAGCACGAGTTCATTTAGGATTGATTGAGGTACAAGAGTGCTTTTTTTGGCAATCACAATGTGCTAAACACAGTTTGTGCCTTGTTTTATATTAAGCTAGGACTTATCATCCTCTTTCATGAATCATAAGTTTTATTGCTATTATTTGGTGGTAATAGACTTAAGAATAAGTAGCTCAGCACTGGGCCTGATCTCAATCAGAAACTACGAGGTTTAGATTGGTAACATGGATTGCATATTAGGATGATATGAAGGCAATGTTTGGATCTCATGCTCGTAGCGATATTTTAGACTCTAGATTATGAATCTAGATTCTAGATAAAATTATGAGTGTTTGGATCTTATTCTCACAGTGATTATTATCTTAGCATAGTGCAAATCGTCAAATAGTATTGCCTTGTGGTAGAAGTTGGATTTTACGATCTAATTCTAGAGTCTAACTGTTTAGATCGCATTCTCATTTTTCCACCATATTTTTATTTTTCTTAAGACATCCAAATAGACCCAAAGTTTTCTCGATAAAACAATGCAAAATGGAAACGTTTAGCAACACAGAGATATGAACTCTAAATATTTTAATTTTTTCTTGACGGAGTCCTTGAATAATACCAAGCAACATACATCACGTGAAATTTTTCGTTATTCCCGTTGCAACGCGCGGAAAGATCTATACAGTAGAGTTGGATAGCCTACGACGCTTTTTTTCCTGTAACCGTATTAATTTCATGAACTATGCTTTTTGAATTAAATGTCACTTTAACGGTCGTATTTAATTTTACAGTATTATTATTTTAAAATGCGATATATGTGTTTTTAGTATAAAAGTTTAGTTGTCTTATATCCACGCATGAGCACGCTACGTAGTATAAATTAATATTCGAAAGCAACAACCCGTGTTTATAAGCTACTAGCAAGTAAGGGGAAGCACAAAGCAGGACGCAGCAGGTAGCATATCCGTTGTCTTGTCTATCACATGGGTACGGCCGTGTTGATGGCGTCGAACGTCCACATCTCCATCCCGGCGGCGTCGACCTGCGGCGGCAGCTGGTGGTGCACGTACGCCACCGTGGGCGCCTGGTCCTGCGCCACGGCGACGGCGTCGGGCACGTACGACGGCTGCGGGTGGTGCTGGAAGAACGTCGTCCCCATGCCCATGACGTCGACGTCGTAGTCGACGAGGTGGTCCCTGCTGCCGCCGCCGCAGGACATGGCGAGCATCCCCTGCGCGGCGCCGGCGTGGATGTCGTCGTCATAGTGGGGCGGCGGGTCCTCGTTGGGGAAGTTGACCTTGGCCTTGGCCCCGCGGATGCGTCGCGCGGCGCGGTCGTAGGCGCGCGCGGCGGCCTCGGCGGTGGCGAAGGTGCCGAGCCAGACGCGCGCGCCCTTGGCCGGGTCACGGATCTCCGCCGCCCACTTGCCCCAGGGGCGGCGCCGGATGCCGCGGTACATGGTCTTGCGCTCCCGCTTCCTGGCCGGCGGCTCTGCACCATGTACGGGTGTCAGGGTCAGGCGGTCGAGTGTGTGTCCTATCATAGCTGTAGCGTGTCTGTGCGTGTGCCCTGCTGGCCGTCACAGGTAGCAAGTGTGCAAACGAACATGTGTATTACCTTGGTCGGGATGGAAGGAGGCCGCGGCGAAGTCGTCGAAGTCGGCGGCCGCCGTGGCCGCGTGCGGCCAGAAGTCCTCGTCGCAGAGGCCCCGCTTGCCGCCGCCGCGGGCGGCGTCGCGCCCCGGGATGAACTCGGAGATGATCGCGCCGCCACACATGTTTTAATTTCTAGTCTGCTGCGTCTGCGTGTGGTGTGGAAGCTTCTGCCGCGGCGCTACAACTGCGGTGCTACGGAAACGGGAGAGGATGCCAAGGAAGGAGGCAAAGGTGGTGGAGTGGAGGTTGCTGTGGGGGACGGAGCCGTGTGCCGGGCGTGCTTATATAGAGGCGGGTGCGGCGGGGCGCGGACAGGTGGTGTGTGTCTGCGTCGAGTGCGCCGCGGTGGAGTCAGCCAATCAGGAGAACGGGGCGGTGACGCGGCAAAGGCAACGGCAGCTTCGCCTCTCCTCGGACTGACGAGAATCCGTGGATTCCTCCCGTCGTCCCAAATCCGGAATCCGGAACCGTCGCTTTCGTCTCCACGCGCCCCTCCGCCGCTGCTTCTAGAGCCGTTTAAAATCATTTTGTACTAAACGAGGCAGGTTTCATCCAGGGAGTCTCTTAAAATCTGCTGATACAAAGAATTTGTGAAGGTCGAGCTAAAAACAATGACTTTATCTTGCCCTGGTGGGCCCTAGTGAGGACAGAGACCCATCGTTTTTTTTTTGAGTCTGGAGGGACCGGAGCCCCTACAGTAATTGATTAAACTTAAACAAAAGTAGTAGTTACAAAAAAAGAAAGGGAAGGGAAAGAACAGGTAGCTTAAGAAACAAAAAAGAAACAAACAAAATTAGCTTCAGGCTACTGCTTATTCCAGACTTCGTATCCATGATGAAAACTGATCTTCTTGTCTAGCCTTTACTCTGCGCTGAAGAAGCCTTAGTTCTTTGAAAAAGGCCCTCCGATAGTCCATCAAGTTCATTCTGATTCCTTTGAAAATGAGATCATTTCTTGCTGTCCAAATGGTCCAGCACAATAGAATTATAGCTTCCATGAAAAACTAAGTGTTCAACTGGATCTTAATCTAGGAAGTCAACTCTGGAAAACTGCAACTCAAGGGGATGTCAACATTTATTATATCCCAGCACATCCTTGCAAATGGGCAATCAACAAAAAGATGATGAACCGATTCTTCCTCTAGAAGATCGCATAACACAGAATTATAAGAGTCCAAGTGCATGTTTCTTCTGTTTAGCATATATCTGGTGCTCGGTCACCCCCGCTTAGAGAAGAAGAGACACTCGCGGGAGCTGCCGAGCAGGCTGTGACCATCGGGCGTGAGGGCACGCCGCCAAGGCATGTGCACGGCCGCCGGGTGCTGGGGCGGGGAGGGCACGGTCGTCGGGGTCATGC